TACCGGAAACTCTTCCAGCTAATCCGCACCACTGGTCCCAGAAAACCAGGCGTCAGTGAGACAATCAGGGACAGCGCGGGTGCGCTGATACACAATAAGGAGCGCCGTATTGCTGGTTGGGCTGAACACTTTGAAGATCAGTTCAGCTGGCCCCCTGCTCCCGAACCTCTTCCTACTCAGGTGATGCAGGACGAGCCATGGACGGTTAGTTTAGAGCCTCCATCGGAAGCCGAGGTCCGAAACGCGATCACAGCCCTCAGTCGTTTTCATGCCGCTGGCCCCGGATTCCCTCCCACCTGCACTATTTAAGGATGGAGGTGAGGTCCTCTGCAGGGCACTGACCTCCCTATTCGAACGTATCTGGAACGAAGAATGTGCCGGCTAATTGGAGCGAATCGATTATAGTGGCAATATACAAGAAGGGCAGTCGCACAGACTGTGCGAACCACAGGGGTATTAGCCTAACGCCAGTTGTGACAGAATTACGGGCCTCGATTATCGTTCGTCGCCTTACTGCAGAACGTGAATCTCAGATTAGGGAAGAGCAGGCCGGTTTTCGCCCAGGACGTGGTTTTATAGACCATATATTTACTTTGCGGCAGGTGCTAGAGCAGCGCCACGCATACCGCAGACCGACAATAGCTGTGTTCCTCGATTTCAAGAGTGCGTTCGATTCGATTCGGTCGATTGATCGATTGTGTTCGAATCACTTGCGCGAAAAGGTGTTCCCACGAAATATGTGAACATCCTTCGTGTTCTATACTCGAACACTACAGTCCGCGTCTGCGTCTATGGTGTCCTAACGGATAGCTTTTCGACTACAAGTGGCGTTCGTCAGAGTTGTCCGATTTCCCCGTTTTTGTTCAATTCCGTCGTGCATTCTATCATGGAGTGTTCCCCGACGGAATCCAATAATGTAGGCGTTGAAGTGCTGCCTGGTGAAAGGTTAGTTGACCTAGGTTATGTGGACGATATCGTCTTGCTTTCCGACGATTTTGCGGCGGTACAATCAACCCTGAATAGCCTGTCCTGAGTGGTCCCATTATTTGGTATGTACTTCGCACCTTCAATATGCAGTGTTGCTGCAAGACGACCAGCCACTTGATGACCCCTTGATGCTTGTTAACGAGGAACTCGAGGTGGTTGATCAATTCACTTATCTTGGCAGCTGCATCATCAATGATGGGCGCATAGAAACTGACGTGAGTTCACGCATTGCAAAGGCCAGAGCTGCCTTCTTGAACCTGCGTCATTTTTGGCGACGGAAGGGAGTATCCCTCCGTCTGAAAGGCTGTGTATACAAGGTCACAGTGAGGGCCGTTCTGCTCCATGGTAGGGAAACTTTGCCCCTTCGGTCTGAAGATCTGAGGCGCCTTCAAGTCTTTGATGGTCGTTGTTTGCGAAGCATTGCTGGTGTCGGATGGCACCAGCGTATGTCCAACGATAATGTGCGTAGACGAGTACTAGGCAGTGATAATCATGCTAGCACCCTAGAACAACAGATAGCACTGAATAAGTTGCGTTGGCTCGGGCACGTGCTACGCAGGCCTGGTCACCGCTTACCTAGGAGGGCCTTGTTCAGTCTATCAGGTGTAGGATGGCGCAAGGCTCGAGGTGGACAGAAGTTGACTTGGCAGCGGGAAATGAAGTCACTGACGACCAAACTGGGTGCCGTTGGTCCGTCTCGCCTTTCGGGTTGGAGTCCACGTGACTCACCTTGTGCTTGGCTCGAGACTTTACAGGACATAGCTCGCAGTAGACCAGTGGCGCGTTTGCTGCCGTCTCCTAATCGGATTGCCTGTTTAAAGTATGTTTGGTGCTGAGTTATCGGCGGGGTAATAGCTGATTATGACCCGGGGCAGTGAAAGCTGCAAGGAAGCTGTCTCGCCGATGCCGAGGTATGTTGTCTACACAAGGTGTAGGCGCCTTGACCCTGAATGTTTGCTTAGGGCATTAAGGTTCTTAGGTAAGTTCCCCTTTTCTCCCTCTTATTCTTTATTTCATGTGTCAGCTTATACGCCGTAACGACGCTTCGCTGCCGCGCGACCACCACTAGTCGCCCGCGGGCTGAGTATACCGCGAGGACGCCCACCCCTACGCGGAGTCGAACCGGTGAACTTATGGTTGGAAAGCAAACGTGCCGACCACTCGGCCACCGGCAGGGAAGCATCAGTTCAAATGGCTGATGTACTGCTGTTGATGATGATGATGACTCTCTAGAGGCCCTCCTTGGATCGAGGGTGAATTGAGATCCCTGCCGAACAGAAGACGGAATTTGTTTGGCCGCTTCAGGCTCACACGATCGGAGCATGGCAACCTCGGTTACAAAGCGGTTAGGAATGCCTGTACCATGAAAAACGTGAGAAACGTCAACAATACGAATTCTCCCTTGCCACACTCTAGAACGACTCCCAAGACGCCCTTCTCCTACCTCAAACGGATCACCAGAGCTAGCAGTGGTATCCCTGCCCTGTGTTCATGTGAGCATGGGGATCCAGTTCATGAAACGCCGACAAAGCCAGTCTCCTGGCGCGGCAATATTCTTCAGCGTACTCGACAGCAGCATCATTCTCCTACTGTTCTTTTTGCACTCTCCTCGGTTGGAGCAGGTCGATATTAACACTGACGTCGTGTTAAAACTTCTCTGTGATTTGGATCCTTACTCATCGCCTGATCCTGACGGCTTGCACCACTTGTTCCTCTAGACTGTGGCTCAGTGCATTAATGCACCTATCTCGCAAGTCCGGACTTCTCCCGATCGCTTAGAAGATGAGCATCATCAAGCCCATTTACGAAGGAGGGAACCCGCAAGATCCAGCTAGCTACCGACCCATTTGCCTTACATCGATAGTATGCAGAATCATGGCACGGGTTCTGAAACAGCCACTTCGCCTTCATCTCGAGAGGTCGGATCTGACATCTTGTGCCCAGCACGGTTTTCGTAAAGCTCGCTGCTGCACTGCCAACTTGCTTGTGACTGAAGAGAAATGGGCAAAGTCTTGGGATGTTGGCAAACGCCTTGATGCTGTGTTTGTGGATTTGAGTAAGGCTTTTGATAAGGTCCCCCATGAACAGCTTCTCTCCAAACTCTGAGGAATCAGCGTCCCTGGGAACTTTCTCTCGAGGATTTCCGATTTTCTGTACGGTCGCTCCATGCTGGCGAAAATGAACGAAAGGTTTTCCGATCTTGTATATATGACTAACCGTGTCCTCCAGGGCTCCGTCCTCGGCCCCGAGGTCTTCAACATCTTCATTAACGATCTGCCGTCTGAGCTTCAGTCGGACTGCTTGTTTTATGCGGATGATCTGAAGATATAGACGGAAGTCTCCTCTCTAGAGCATGCTGATTGCAAGAGACGCTCGATCTCCTGCACACTTGGTCGATTCAGTGGCGTTTGCCCATTAATCAAGATAAGTGTTCCGTCCTATTGGCGCTCCTGAACCATTCGGTGCTTACAACATAGGTGATTTCTTACTCGAAAATGTCACTTCAGAAAGAGATATCGGCGTAATTGTGTCCCCAGACTTTAGATTCACTCAGCACACCATAAAGAGGGTTGTCACTGCCTACAGGATGTTTCACACCATCCGCCGCTTTACGCCGGAGCTCTTTAGACACCTGTTCACTTCGCATGTGTGCCCGATTCTAAAATACGGCCTTCCTGCTGCCTATTCGCTTACCAAATTTGAGCGTGAGATGATTGAAAAGGTCTAACGACGTGGATCGAAGTTCATGTCTGCGGTACGTGACCTGCCTTATCCTCTTCGGTTCCGAGATTTGAATCTGTTTTCTATGAATTACCGTCGCCGTCGCGGGGATTTGATTTTTACCCGACGTATCCTCAGGGGAGAGAATTGCAGGAATTCCTCTACCTCAACATTGGGAGTTGGACTAGAGGCCATCGATGAAAAATATTCAAACCAAGTTGGCTCAAAGTGCGGTCTATTCTATTCGCGTTGTGAATGACTGGAACCGGTTACCGGGACTTGTCGCTGATGCGCAGACGGAGGATTGCTTCAAACGACTACTTGATTCACACCTGTTGGGGTATGCCAGGATCATGTTGCTTCAGCTACGAGTGCGACGGCCTCTCCGGCGTTTCCGTTGCGTAATGATGTGAGCATCCCAGCAATGATCTGGGAATGTTGGAACTGACAAGCGATTTCCCTCCTGCTCTCTACTACCCACTGAACCAATGAATCACTGCGGTGAATTGGTCGATCCAATGGCATTTACATCTGAATGCTAATAAATGTCATCTATTGACCAATAGTGGTATCGGGGTTACAGTGCAGTCTCCTGCAGGATCTCTATCATTGCAGTTTACTGATGAGGCCCGTGATCTAGTTGTCCTCATAGTGAACAGTTTTAGGCCTTCGGCACAGTGTCGCCATGCTGCCACTAAAACGCGACAAAAGTTGTTTCGTCTCAAGGGGGTGCTGAGTAACTCTAAAGCAGAAGTATTGTAGTTATATAAAGCAGTGGTTAGGCCAATTGGGATTACTGTGTTCAGGCTTGGGTACCGTATCTCCGCAATGACGCTGTGTATAAAAAAAATTCAAAAAATTTGCGACCAGGATGATCGAAGGTCAACGAGAGCATCGCCTGAAACTCAAACATCATAGGGCTCGTTTGAACATCAGGACGAAATTCTTTACAACCCTAGTAATTAACATCTGGAATAAACTTCCTTCTGATTTAGTGGAATGTGCGACCGTAGAAGCCATCAAAATAGGTTTAGATTAGTGTTAGTCTGACCTATTTTCAGTTATATTATGGTCATACTGGAGTATGTAGTGTTTTCTGTTGTTGACACATGGAGGTGCAAAGATTTCTCTTGTTCTTGCTTCATTCTTTTGCAGTACCAAGAAGAGGCAATCCAACCTCGAAGTGCCGAGAGCTCTTGTTTACCTGCCGGCACAAGAAACAGGATGCTCGTTAGTGGAAAGCCTCTATCATCCGTTGTACTTGACCTGACCTCATCTATTTTACATTTCAGCCCCTCAGTCTATTACGACACACGTAAGCCTTGGACAAGGAAGGCCTAGAATTTTTTGACCGGACACATACCGCAATCCCGTCGTTTACTTGTTAGGGCTGCAGCCACGCTGGCCATATAGATCTTGTTCCGCGACAATCCGTTTCACTATGGTTTCAGACCTGCACGCCAAAACCAAAGGTGATGCTTCGGATAAGAAAAAGGGGGATGTTGCTAAGGAAGAAGACCTGGTAAGCACTTTTTCATACTATCTTGTAGTCTGAGGAAGACAAACAACTTCAGGATGAGTTGAAAATGTTGATCGAAAGGTTGGAAGAGCCTAACGTCAGCTTATACAAACCAGCACTAGAAAGCATGTGCACGCTAATTAAGTCGTCAACAACCTCCATGACTTCTGTCCCGAAGCCACTTAAGTTCCTGGCCCCATACTACGACAAAATCAAAGCTATTTATGAAAACATAGAAGACTCACCGACCAAAGTATCTTCGCATGTATAACCGTAATTTTGCAGCGTCTTTGCGCCGACGTAGTATCTGTCATCGGGATGACAATGACAGATAAACCTGAGTCGCGTTACGATACTCTAAATTATCGCCTTCTTGGCTCTGGGAGTGAGATTGGAGCATGGGGCCACGAGTACGTCCGTCATCTGACGACTCAGGTTGTTGCTGTTTGGCAAGAGAAGGATCTCGGTGCCATCCAAGATCGAGATGAAGGTAACATGTCTAACGATAAAATAACGTATTGAAGATGCCACGCGCTTGCGCGAGCAGTATCTCTCCCTGGTGCATTCAATTATCCCCTACCTTATGGAGCACAATGCAGAAGCTGAAGCCATAGATTTATGTGTTGAAATAGAGAAGCTTAATTTACTGGAACAATATACTTCCGCGTCTAATTATCAACGCGTTTGCTTATATTCCACCAGCTGTGTACCCTATCTCCCTACACCGGACAACACTGAGGTACGTAACTGATCGCTATTTTCACGTGTTTACTCCAATTATTGCGCTGTTTCTTTCTCGTTAAACCATTTACAGGTGACCTTTTTGTGTTTTCTTTATGTATCCATGACCACAAAACATCTAACCATCGACTGCATTTTGAGCTACTTAACAGTAATCCTATCTCTGTATGCTATTAAATGGTCGCACTCTGGCCAGTAAAGCAGGCGTTCACTAGGTAATGAATATTGGATTTGAGCTGTGATTATTGATCACGAATCAGCTGTCCCACAACTCTCCCTTACATTATGCAGTTTGGGGATGCACGACGAAACGTTAGTTAATCTACTCAACGCAGGGTTAGTGACGAGAGAATCAGATTGAAAAGCTTAGCACCATCTTACCATTTTCATCAGCGATCACCTCTGTAGTAACCTGCTGGTTCTGACCTATGCACGCACCTTTGTCATTACTGCTCTCACGCCTATCGTCATCGTGGATATCACAACGACTCTTCTCCAATTTAGCCAGTTGATTTTGACGCTCACTTCTTTATGTATCCATCCTTAATAAAGGACCTCACTACCATTTTTACATTACTGAGGTATGAGGGAATCTGAACCAATAACGAGTTGCCTCTGACGCATGAGACCACGTTTCAAACCACTGCTTCAGGTGGATTTTAAAGCTAACCAATTACGGTTCGGTTTTCATCCATTTAACATGAATTAGCCAGAGGCTTGGAACCAACTGAAGTGTTCCATATATTGTACTAATTCGCTAGCCGGACAATGTCCTATTGCAAATAAAACTAATCGTACCTTCGTTTTCCGCCCCACTAACTCCCGGTTTCTTTGAACCAGAGACGTGAATTGGCTGGTAGAATTTACGGTAGTTAATCTCCGTTCTTTTTTACTTGTCCTCCACTCCTATCTCAATTTTACAGGCTTCTCTATCGGCTCGTTGACTACACCTGATAATCTGTGTTTTTTTCATTGGGCACTTTGCCAACGGGAATTCCGATAGGTTCACCTACCTTTCGAGTTCCCAGCGCTACGCTGACTTATAGTTCTTCTAGAAGAGGCTTCTACGTCACAGCTAGCGACAGAAATGCGATTTCACCGGAACTTAGTTAATCTTTGAAGCAGTTAGATATTGGGTTTTAGTCGCACGAAAACGCTGCACTCCACGACTAGTTTCGACCTTATTCGATCTCATCAGGTCGATCGACGGTATACAGCGAAGAAGAACGGTTCTGTTTACACTTCAAGTCTGGCCTTAAATCGCTCCATCGCATCTTGATGGTCTGCCGGGCTATCGAATTCCGCAACCAGCTCGTCCGCATCGGCTCATTCCAACCTGACCGCGCCCCTTCGCGCCATCTCCAAAATAACCTTCGCCCTGCTTTTGATAATACTCCACGGTGCTACCAGATTCGCAAGTTCCCGCTTCAATCCGAATACTTCGCGACATTTTCTAACTTCTCATCCGCAAATGGCTCCGGCCGAAAGATCTACATGTTCCACCTCAGACTGCTGACGGCGCCAAATGTTGGGAACGCAACGCACATGCTTCCCTAGTCGCTTATCTTGTAGTTTCGACTCAAAACCAATCGCAGGGCGTCGATCCAGCTTAGTCGACAACTCCTTATCCAACCAAACAGACGTCGGTTCATCCGTTTCTCTTTAGAGCTCTGGACCCTACCTAAGACTGGTATACCTCAACGTGCGCACTTTGTTACAGATTGCTCAACGGACAACACTTATCCGAACACTAGAGACCTGTCGACCGATATCTGCTGTCAGTCGGGAATCCGCCTACAACATTCGAGCTCTATGGTTACCTCCAATCCCGAACGCGCGATACTAGCGATACTTTCTCATTCCCTAAAGGTTGCAATCTGATGGCGCAGATTCCAGCCTGGGAGAGACCAGGGCGACTCTCGTGTTGTCCTTTGCTCACTTGCGACCGGTCGAGGTTGCGCGGCAGCGAAGAGTCTGTACTGTGTACTGGCGTACTGCTGATGCCTTACTTCTCATAATGCTTGTGCACAGATGACACAGCTTTAAATGCCATTTAGGCCAGTGTTAGCTTTTCTTTGAGCCGGCGAACTGAGCTGCGTTGATCCATTGGATCTCAATCAAAAGCCGAATCTGCACTGACAGATTGGTCGGCTCGTTCAAGGCTTCTAAGTCGCACGGTGACAAACGGGGCTGTTTGTCATGGCTGCATACGCGCCCACAAACAGTAGCGCTGGGTAGGCGAAAGACGGCTTCAAACAAAAGTCAAACGCACTCCGTTCCAAAAAGTACGAATAGTCAACGAATGAGCTTCATCTGGGCGGCCAACACGGTGAAGGATCTCGTAATGATAACGACGAGCGATTGCTACAACTGTGAAGGTGCTCGTCTATTTCCAGCAAACACTAACTTCCGACAGTGCACCCATAAGAGAGTGACACGGCGTCCAGCCACCTCAAACGAGCCAAGCATGCAAATCAATCACATGGCGAACAGTCACCGTTGGAGAAGCTGTGTCCAATACCTCCGCTCATTTCGGAGCACGAGCATAAACTCATAAAATAAAAATGAATGCTAGCTGTATGGCATAACGCCGCTTCGCTGCCACACGACTACCACCAGTCGCGCGTGGGCTGAGTACACCGCGAGGATGCCCACCCCTACACGAATTTGAACCGGTGGCCTTATGGTTGTAAACTAGGCGCGCAGATCACTCGGCCACCGACCGACGCAATTGTATGTGACGACCTGTGGGTATGTTTTTCTGGACCTCCGCAACGGCGCCGTAAGCGCATACATACTTGCCAACTGGCTAAGACAGTTGTTCCGATTGCGCATCAAAGTACGCCTGGCATCCGAACTGACTAAGAACCCGCGGAACATAACTAAAGATCACTGATCGCATACCCGCCAGACGGTATTAGCAACAGGCGCCCTCATATGACCAATCATATTGACAACATGGACACTGGTTCTCTACGCAGTCTCGGGAACTTTTGGATGCTCTCCGACGTGTTCCGGTTGGAAGCGGACGAAACGAGTCCTAAAGAGAGACAGTGACGCCTTGTGGTTCCATCGTGCCTCGGAGATGGAAGTGTTTGCTGCATTTGGTAACTGTCGTAAATTAATCCGTCTGATAGGGGGAACAGACAGCAAAACTCCAGGAGTTAGCAAGACTATACACGAAGAGGATGGGCGGCCAATCCACAGTTTGTCAAAACGCTTTTAACCTTAGGTCGAACACATTGTAAAGCAGTTTAATTGAAGTTATCATCCTTACTGGGCGTTGTTTAGCCTTTTCCCTGAGCCATCGCCTTGGATCCGCTCTCACGCGCAGAAGTCGAACGTAACATTACACCGTTGAAATTGATTAAGACCACAGGAGCATAAAATCTTCCTCTAACTTCCTTAGATACCAGGGGACCTGTTTGTATGACTGATTTCCATAAGTTACTGATGAAGCTGTGGAAGCAGGAATCTGTGCCAGCAGACTAGAGGCGTTTCGTTATAGTCCAAATTTGATAGGGAGGCTCATGTTCGGAATGCCGCAATCACAGAGGAATCAGTCTGATCGTAATTGCCTCAAGGTTGCTTGCCTCTGTCCTCCCCCATAAATTGTCTTGCATTCGTGGAAAACAGATTTGTGAGCGGCAAGGCGGGTTTCGTCTAAATCGAGCATGTATTGACCACGCTCTCAGGTAACGTCAGCTGTTGGAACACCGTCTTATTTATTAGTGACCCACCGTGGTCATGTTTCTTGACATCAAAGTTACCTTCGATTCGGTGAATCGATGTACCACTTAGGACTGTGTCCTCAGGGAAAGTGCAGTGTAAATGTCATACGAGCCCTGTAAGTGCCTAGTTCGTGTAGCGCAAGCTCGAGGCGATTATCCCTCTAGTTTATAATGCAGCGGTTCGCTAAACCCTCCTGTACGGCTGTGATACATGGCCCATAAAGTTGACGGACAAAAAGAGGTTACGTTCGATCATCGCTGCCTTCGCAGCTTAGCTCATGTCTGGTAGGAATAATGCCTGAACATGTTCGGCGTCGCTTATTCGATCCATGTAGGGCTTGTAATCCGCTCAGCACCGTTAGTCACGCAGCAGGCACCGATGGCTGCGCTGCGTGTCAGGCATTCCAGCCCACTGACTCCCGCGTTGTGCGTTATATGCACGACTGGGGTCTGGATGGAAGAAGGATAAGCCAAGCGATGACTTGATGAAGAGGTATATCGTCTCTCCATGCGAAGTTGTCATCGTTTGGTAACTACCGGTTGCTTTATTAGTGTACTAAGAAATTCGTACACGTTTTGTTGAACACACTAGTTGATATGACGAAGAGTCAACTTTAATGGCATTTATGCTGTGTGTTTCTTTACCGTTTCCCATTCAACCGCGATTTCGCTGTAACTGTCTAATGTGCTATTTGCAGAGTGCCATAACACATAGTCATCCATGTGAAATGGATACGTTGTTTTATGTTATTTGTAGGCAGATAGCTACGCGGTTGCCTAGGCCTAGGAAGGAAGTTTACTTAGGTGGCGTCACCCGGAGTCTCTGGTCTTAAAGACCTGACCCATAAGGCAACAGAGCGATTAACGCTTGTTGTTGGAACGTCCAGCGAGCCGCTAAATATGAATTCATTTGAGAGCCAGGTGGCTCATTCGCTTTGTGTTCGGTAGCCGTCCACACAGAACCCGGGATCCAGCAAGGTTGTTCATCTGCCTTTCATTAGGTGATCAGTGACCTAGTAGTAGGTCACATTGGCTTTGACACAGCGCCATACTAGGTCTTGTAGTATTTGTGAGGGAACCACGTGATCAGCCCAGAACTCCCTACACTCTGAGACATTGCTGCTGATTGACCGCGACTGCTTATTCATCTCGTCTACAAAGCAAACGAGACTTATTCGCAGTTACTTCCACGAGGAAGACATTCTATAATCCGCGACCTGAGGACGCCCTCGATTGCGCATAGCTCCGCCACGGTATAGCATCAGCAGTACGCCAGTAGGTTGTAACACCGCTTCGCTTCAGCGCAATCACCATCAGTCGTGCGTGGACTTGGGATACTGGGAGTGTCGCCCGGTGCCCAACGATGGATAGAACCCCCTGACCTTAAAATTACAAAGTAATCTTGCGATCCTTAATGCAACTGGCCAGCGATAGACTTACTTGAAGCACTCATGGTGACCGCGGAAGTTATACAACCGAATTACTTTTCTGCCCCACTTCACTTCTCTTGTGGAACCATGTGAAAACATGGAATTATTTGCCCTTTTTCCTGTTTGTGCTCGTTATTTACATATATTGCCATTTTTATTTATAGGTGCTGAAATGTGCCGCTACGCTCTATCGTAAGTTCGATGACCCCGGAAACTCAATGCGTTGTGCACTTCGCCTGAACGATATGAATCTCATCCATGAGATCTTTTTCAATTTCTCAAAATATGAGTCGTCCTCTGGATCTGAACTCAGTGTTCAGCGACAGTTGGCGTATCTTCTTGGAAAACAGGGTGTTGTGTTTTCAGATGACAACGCAATTGACGAGGAGTTGGCAGAGATGCTTTGGAATACTCGCCTATCTGATCACTTTTTAGACCTCGGAAGAGAATTGGACATAATGGAACCAAAGGTGAGCTCTGGACGGATAATCAATGATTCTCTTTACTTTGCTTTGTTTCTATGTAATTTTGGGGTTTGATCCAGGAAAAATTATAACATGTTTGCTTTTTTAAAATACGCTGAAGCTGACCAAGAACTTTCATGAGGGTCTAAAAACAATCGACTGGTATGGTTAACGGGCTGCTTTTCTCTTTTGATACGAAAGCTTCTTCAGGTTAAGTGAACCGGCGGATGATTGGTGTAGCATGTATAACAAACTTGGAGGACAGCCGCTAGCAACTCTCGAGGTGTGAGTACAAGGGCCATTACTTTTCACGCTAAAGTGGCATTTCAAATGGCACAGTAAAAGTGGAGAGGTGGCAAGTAGTTTACATCACAAGTTTATTGCACTTACATCCGTATCAGCGGCTGGACTGGGAGTGCTTTGATGTTCTCTCGCCGCGTTTGGTTGTGTTGCCAGTGACACTGTTCATTTCACCAATTTGTCATGCTCTTCTGCTTTTTCATTGTCTGACGTAACATAATGGCTCTCTGATCGCACTGGATAGCTTGTTCACTATCATTTTACATTAGGCTTACTTTCTTTGTGCGTAATAAAATGTCTTTATCTCCATTTTGATCCTGTAGCGCCTTTTCTACATTGATGCTTCAGATGATATAATTACTCTGAACTAGCTACACCCTCCCCTATTCAATCATCGACATCATCATCAGTGCACGGTAATAAATACGCTTCAGCTGACTTGCCGCAATAAAAGGGATAAGATATATTAAAAAACATTGCGGAATACGATATAAAACCAAGAAACACAAAATGATGCTTACTGTCATATCAAACATAGCTTGTGAGAACGTGGTTGGAGGGGGAAGACAAGCTTGACGGGAGTGGTTAAGAAACAACACACGCGCCATTGACCCCGGCTCTTTACCATGTCAATCACTGTATCCAACTAAACGTGTCACTCGTCCTTAGTGCCCCAGCTCGGCAGTCGGGAGATAACCGACGCCAAATTCGAAGTGAGAGACTCCATGCCTCTTCATCAAGTCATCACTTGGCTTATCCTTCTTCCATCCAGACCCCAGTCGTGCATATAACGCACAACGCGGGAGTCAGTGGGCTGGAATGCCTGACACGCAGCGCAGCCATCGGTGCCTGCTGGGTGACGTAATGGTGCTGAGCGGATCACACACCCTACTTGAATCGAATAAGCGACGCCGAACATGTTCAGGCATTATTCCTACCAGACATGAGTTAAGCTGCGAAGGCAGCGATGATCGAACGTAACCTCTTTTTATCCGTCAACTTTATGGGCCATGTATCACAGCCGTACAGGAGGGTTTAGCGAACTGCTGCATTATAAACTAGAGGGATAATCGCCTCGAGCCTGCGCTATACGGTTCGTGGCCTCATCTTCTATCCCGCAGGCGCTGATATAGTTGCCGAGACACTTGAATTCTATACGATTTCTAGCTGACCACCACCAAGAATTAGCTCACGGGTAAAAAATAAAAATCACCAGCTGTACGCCGTAACGGCGCTTCGCTGCCGCTCGACCATCACCAGTCGCTCGTAGGCTGAGTATACCGCGTGAACGCCCGCCTGTACGCGGATTCGAACTGGTGACCTTATGGTTGCAAACTAGACGCGCATACCCCTCGGCCACTGGCCGACTAGCTCACGGGTAGGTCCCTGATAATTCTGGATGACTGCGTTGTGAGGGTTGTCCGGGAGGAAGTAAGAATTGCCTAGAAAATCCACTATTTTAGCGGTTAATCGTTTGTTAACGATTATCGCATCCATTTCGAACGTTCTGGAATCTTCTAGTTTCTGCACCTGACTAGAAACCACCTTACACCTCGGGAACAGTTATGGAGAACTACTAACCATGGTAGCTGACCCAATGCTAGAAATCGAAGGTCAGTAAGAGACTTGTAAATACAGCCAAGGTCCGTGGTAATTGTAGTGTTTGTTGACGGCGATTAATATGTTATTTTGTCATTGGCGTTCTGCTTTTTTTCTTCGGTTGGGCTAGACGTTTTGTGGAGCAGTAAAGTGCCAATTTCGGAGTCGCCTAGTGAGAAGATTACAACAAATGGCGACGGAGAAAATTGGAAATGTGATGAATTTTTCTTCTGAATAATTTCAATAGCTGCTTTTCCAACAACAATCTCAAATAGAGACACAAATGAAAGTGATCGAAAATCTGACGCAATGCTTGAGTTTGTAGACAACAGGATCAGCGACGCGGGACATGCAGACGAGTTCTGTTGATCTTCTCACTAATGTAATCCATGAATTCAATTATGTCGCGGATTCTGGATACACATTCGGGGCGTGGTTCAAGCGCTGGGAAGACATGTTCCGGACTGACTTACTTCGTCAGGACGACTGCTGGAAGGTGCGATTGCTACTCCGCAAGCTCGGAACAAGTGAACATTCAAGGTTCATAGACCACATTCTGCCCAAACAGCCGAAGCATATGACGTTTGACGAAGTAGTGTCGCAGATGAGGGGAATTTTTGGTGAGTCAGTATCCTTGTTTAGTATTCGCAATCAATGCTTGAAAATTGTCAAACCGGCATCGGACGACTTTGGGGCCCTAACAGACATGATTAACCGTGAGTGTGAGCGTTTCAAACTACACTTTTTAACGGACGATCAGTTTTAGTGTCTCATTTTCCTCAACGCTCTACAACCCCCCTGTGATGCTGAGATCCGCACGCGGCTTTTAGCTAAGCTGGATCAGAATCCTAATCTGACACTGAAAGCCCTCGTAAGCGAATGCAAACGGCTACTCACTCTAAAACACGACACTGCTATGGTCGAACGGAATGGTCTCGCACCACCAGATACCGTGCACTTCGTGAAAAAGGCCAGGACTGCCAACCCAAGCAAACCCTTCAAGAGGTCTACGAACAAACCGCCCACAGCATGCTGGTCCTGCGGCGAATAGCATTTCACGCGCTTTTGTCCGTTCAAACTTCATATTTGTCAAACGTGCCATAAGCGTGGATATAAGAAGGAATTCTGCATCCAGGTCCGGTCGGAGAAAGGGAAGAAGTTTTATCAAAAGGGGAATTCTAGGAAGGATGGTACAGAGTCTCTGTCCATAGTTGCCGCATTCCAAAGTGTGTGTTAACCGAGACGACGATTTATCAGAGTGTTGATCAATGGGATCCCAACGAAACTGCAATTTGACACGGCCTCGTACATCACGATTATTTCTAGGAGCACATGGAATCACATAAATAGGCCAAAGATGGTCGAGTCTCAGAAAGTTGCACATAATGCATCCAGCGGTGTGTTAAACTTAGTGGGCGAACTTACTTGCAAGATTGCTTTCAAAGGTGTGGAAAAGTCGGGAACGTGTTACATTTCAGACTGGCCGAATTTGAATCTTGTTGGTCTCGACTGGATTGAAAACTTGCAACTCCTCGATGTTCCCTTGAATCAGATCTGCAACCGAGTTCGAGCAAGTCCAAACCCATCATCAAAGTCCGTCAAAGACATGACAGGTACCCTGAAATTGGCCTCTGTCTTTCAGCATGGCTTGGGCCATTGTACGAAATTCTAGTCAACGCTGAGCTTGCGACCAGGTGCTAAACCAGTGTTCATGGCTAAAAGACCGGTACTATATGCAGTCACGTCAACCGTTGATCAAGAACTCGATCGACTGGAACGTGCCGGAGTCATCACAGACGTGAACTGATCATCATGGGCTGCACCTGTTGTCGCAGTGAAGAAGGCAAATTGCAAGGTACGCGTCTGCGCTGATTTCTCAACTGGCCTTAACGCCGCGCTGGACGACCACCAGTACCCATTAACTGTACCGGACGATATTTTTGCAAAACTGAATGGTGGTATGTGCTTTGCTAAACTTGATCTATCCGATGCCTACCTTCAGGTGGATATTGAAGAAATCTCGAGGGAGTTGTTGACGATCAACACTTTTCGCGGGCTATTCCAATACAACCGCTTGCCGTTTGATGTAAAAACCGCGCCAGCCATTTTCCAACAGTTAATGGGTACCATGCTAGCGGGCGTTTCTGGAGCCGCTGCATATCTGGATGATATCGTAGTGATGGGTCGAACGCCGGAAGAGCTATTTAACCGCCTGGATGAAATGCTTGGATGTAGACAGTCGTACTGTTTTCGTATCCGTGAGGAGAAATGCACATTTTTCACGCCGATCATCAATTACCTCGGTTTTATCCTCGAAAAGGATGGACGTTGACCAGATCCGAAAAACGTAGAAATCATTAGAACAATGCGTCCACCAACAAATCTACAGTCCTTACATCCCTTTTGTGGGCTCATCAACCACTACAGCGCATTCTTGCCTAAGATGCACCGCCTGCGTGCCCCGTTAAACAAGCTACTAGCCAAAGGCCAAACTTGGAACTGGATATCAGAATGCCTTTGAACGGGTCAAGACGTTGTTGTCCTCAAACTTGCTTTTGACCCAGTTTGATCCCTCCAAAGAAATTGTCCTAACTACAAATGCATCGAGCCATGGGATTGGCGCAGTCATTTCACACACGTACACCGATGGATCTTAGAAAGCAATCGCCCATGTCGCCAGAACAGTTACGAAGGTCAATAGGAATTACAGCCGGATTGAGAAAGAAGCATTGGCCATAGAGTACGCGGTCAGGAAACTCCACAAAATGCTATATGGCCGCCACATCAAGCTTCTGACAGATCACAAGCCCTTGCTGGCTATCTGGTTCGAAAAAGGGCATCCTGGCCTACACAACCAACCGGCTACAACGTTGGGCTCTTACCTTAATGGGTTATCATTTCGAGATCCACTACCAATCGCCAATTTCCATTGGCCAAGCTGGTGCACTATCATGTCTAATTAATGCTCATCAGCAAGAACATGAGGACACAATCATTGACTCGGTCGAGATCGAACCTGACGTCAACTATCTGGTAATTGATGCATTGCACGGTCTACTAGTCACCGCAGAAGCTGTACGAACCGAAACGCTTCGGGACCCAATACT